CTTTCCCCCCCCCCCCGCCACTGTGGCAGGGGGTAAAGAATTTAAACGTGACCCCCCAGTTTAGAATTTTCCATTTATGGGGCAGGGGGGTGGCATTTTAAAATCTGAAATGTATAGTCTTGGATTTGGAAGCAACTGTCCTAAGAGGACATGTAAAAGACAATCTCAGATATGAAGAGCTGAGGTTCAAAGCTTTCAATTTAAATACCAGACAAACACCAGACTGGTTCTTGAAAAAGGTGAGTCTGTTTCTGCCTCCCCTGCACCAGTTTCTAATCAAATTAGATATTAGAAGAGACAAACTGCCAATAAAAAGGGGTTGAATCTTAATTGGCAACAGTATTTGCAGGCCTACAGTTAAGATGCTGAATCTGATTACGACTACAATTCTAGTCCTTATTAAAAAAACCAAACACTCCCTCCTCCCAAAAAAACTAAACAAAAACATACAAAACCTTATTGAATACAATCTCTTAATTGTAAGCAGCAGCAACCCAATGCCTAGAACACAGTTTCCACACTGCTGGCACGTATGTAGACAGTTCAGGCCTTGGGAAGAGGTTCTATAAAAAAGTATGTTAGTCAATTTATGGGCCATCACAGATAGTTTCCATTGACAAATATGTACCCAAACCCTAAAATTACAAATCACAATTACCATAGCGAGTTGCCGTCCTATGTTTCCTACAGTCACGCCTCCTGAGAAAAATATACATGGTAGCCAAGAACGGATATAAAGGAAGTCTGGGGATGTATACCTAGGGAAGACAAAACAAGTCAATTAGAAAAAGCTTCCACCATCCTACACCAACTATTATGCTGCCATATGTATTCACCCACCAGGAATGATGGTAACATAGGAGAGGGAATAAGTGATCCTCATTCTTCTTAAACAAAGCTCAATTCTCAGTAAATAGTTCCCTACATCTGGAACTAGTCAGTGGCAAGACTAATTTTGCAAGGAGGGCAGAAATTTGGTCCTCTGAAGAGACCCATCAAAAGTCTCAACTCCCCCTTCCTACCCTCCCCCCCCATAATGTCCTCCAAGATCTCACAGTACAGACCTTGATCCCTTGATGACAGCCTGCTATGTTTTGATACAAGACAATTAGGTGGACTCGACTGTTTTAGAAATACTAAAATGCAAGCATGAACACATGCACGCTGAGATTTTGATGTTTTCACCTTTAAGGTTATTAGCAGGGGTCTACCCAACTCAAGGCAGCGGATGGCCATTTTCACAGGCTCATCACAGAGCCTCCCTCCCCCACTGGCCAAGGGGTCCTGATGGCCCCTCTCCCCCGACTGTTGATTGGTGGAGGGCTGTCAATCATGTGGCCTCACTGCTGATTGGTGGAGAGGGTGGGGCTCCATGACAGGCAGCCCTCTCAGCCAATCAGTGGCAAGAAGCAGGGGCAACAGCTATCTTGCCTGCTCATTTTCATGCAGCAGCCCCATTCCCGCTGGACTGCGCAGCAGAGGACTGCTGGTTCCCACTGGGGAGCCAGAACTATTTTAGCAAATCCCCTCCCCCCCCAGATATCACCCAATTTTGTGATGTGAAATCATGATTTGGGTAGGTTCCTAGTTACTGGCAGTTTCCATATTTTTACAAGAGTGGAAGTTTCGTTTCTTTTGGGGGAGAAGAGAATTTAAGTGCTAATTTTAAACATCTGTACTTACTGATAAACACCATTGTATACAAGAAACTGAGTGATCAGAGTCGCTACAAAAGCTATCGTAATTCCGAGACCAAGACCACTTCTTGAACGATCAAATGTCCACCAGAGGCCCAGTGACAGAGCTGCTAGAGTCAGTGACAGCTGGATGTTGTTTGCAAAATCCAATTTCTGATTTAATAAAAGTTAAGGGTAATCTTTTAATATTTTTCAGCCAGAGAGAAGTTTCAGATTAAAAGTTCATCAAAGAAGGAATCAAAGCTTTCAAGGATTATTGTCTTTTGGGTGCCAGAACAAGAAGCCTTGGTTGGAGCAGACATTCAGAGGTACTCAACATGCACAGCTCCCACTGGCTTAAACCCCAAAGATCAGGTCAAAGGCCCAAAGTTTAAGTCTTCTTAATTCAATGGCAAGGCACTTCCTAACATTTCTGTCTTAAATAACCCAGATTCTTCCCTCAATGTAAAATTTTCTTTTAGTTACTGTTATTGAGGGACCTGTCTTACTCAATGTCTTAAAACTAGTTATGCAGCATAACTGCAAAGAGAAGCCAAAGTAAGTTCATAGTGTTGTTATATTTAAATTGCTAAACCAAGTCAGCCAGCATTTTAAACTTTCTTCTAAAGTATAACAACAACCCCCCTCCCCGATTTTTTAAAGAGCAGTGTTATATCTTTTCCATTAAGATTAGTCTTACCTATGCAAGTCTCCCAAGCACAAATGTGAGAAAGCTTTTGGGCAAACCATTGAGTTTCATTTTAAACAAAAAACTAAAAATTTAAAACCAGCCCAAGGATACAGCACTTGCATGGTTAATGCCAACAAAAACTGCTATACATCGCATTACGCTGGCCCATTCTCTCTTGAATTTGTGGGGTTCTCCAAGATGACTGTCAATGCAGGGATACAGCAGGCCAACAACAGCTGTAAGAGAATTAAAGTAAGTATATTTGTAAACACCAGTATATAGTGAAATGTCACTACTACTATATACGTTCATTTGGCAATTAAGTACCTGGCAAAAGACTCCTACATAGTCAAAAGTTTCACTACTTGCTGGACACAAAAACTGTGCCAACTTCAACATAGATTCATAGATTGTAAGGCTGGAAGGGACCTCATCTTCCTTTTGCATGGAAAGGATATACTTACTCTGCATCTTCACCAAATACCTACACTTCAGCAAGTCAAACACAAGCTAAACAACACTTTACACATGCAATTACAGTAAAAAGAGTGGAATATGGTTTTATTTTCAGCCCAGCCAAAACACATTTCTTATATTTGGGCCCTATCCAAAGGATAAGAGGCAAAAGTTCTTGAATCAGGTCTATAAGTACTTGCCTGGACTTAGAAAGTCTTGGCAGCAGTTTTTTTTTTTTCTTTTTTACTGGATTATAGTCTCATTCCTGCTCCCATTCAAGTCAATTGGAGTTTTGCTATGGATTTCAACAGGAGCAGGATATACCCTTAAGAGCCAAACTCTGCTCCAAGCTGAATCAATGCCAAAAAACAAAAAAAAACCCCAACAACAAAAATCAGAGTAACTATTGAACTTAGTGAAATTATTTTAGATATTTGTAAAACTAACAGAATAGTCTAAAGTAAAAAATCTGTCTGTATTGTGTATTGAGTTTCTTTCAGTAACTCCTGAGTTTATTTCTTGTGAAGACTGTTGAAGCTACAGCCCTGCATTTAGCATCTTAATACAGTTTTGGTTTTGAGTAAGTCCATCCTCCTTTTGAAAAGAGGGGGAAAAAAATCTGAGGTTGCCTGATCAATATATTCACAGATCTCCCAAATACTTCATGTTTAACTCAAAAGAGAGGGCTATTTGATTTCTTCAGTATTATGGTGATCTTTTCACTCATGCTCTTGAGTTCAGAAGTTTGGGTTTTCAGTTTTAAGAATACTATAGCCACATCTTTGGCAAACATTCACGGAACAAAAACCTGTGTTTATTGCGAATAGTAAACAGGTGATGTATCAGAGCTGGTCAGGCTAAACAGGAAATACTTGTGATACTGTCTGTATTAGTCTACTGTGAAAGTGCGGCTCATCTAGTTCTCTCTGGAAACAAAATAATGCAGTTTTGAAAAGCTAAGAGCTAGATCTCTATATAGCAAAAAGAAAAACCCCCCCACCTATGTCACAGACTGAAGGTAAGCAGGATTAGAGTCAGAAATTCAGATGTCTATGGTCTATAAAGACTAATTTATTAGGTTGGTGCAATTAGTGTTTGAAGGCTTTTAACAGACTACAAACTCTAGGAGCTTTTACAGCTTACACAGTGTTTTGTAAAGTAACTTGCTGAAGTCAGTATGTGACAAGACTCAAATCCTATAGCCCTCGTTTGAATTCCATTGATTCTGACAGACATCTCTTCAGAAGACAGTTACAAAAACTTTGTCTACCCCCGCTGAGGAAGCTGATCAAGGATGTTGTTATACTCAGATGCACCAAAAGTAGTGTTCCTTTAACAACCTTTATTTTTATAAGAACTCCATGGAAATATAAGCCTGGGCAAATAGAATTTCTTTTCCAACTCTGTCCACATTACATGTGGTTGCTGACATTGTTGTGTCATGGGCATTTAAAAAAGGCATCCGATTAAAGAGTAACCATTTAAGAAAAACTCCATTATTGGCACCACAAATAATACCTTCGTTAAACTGAAAATGATCTTGGCTCATTAGAACCAACTGTGCTTCTACATGCAAGAGTCTTTTTCTGACCATTAGTAGCACACAAATGCTTATACTGCCAGCACTCTGTTTTTACCATCTTCAGTCAACAACTCAGCAACA